ATATATTTTATGTCAACTTTGATCCTATATAATTTGAGATTTTTTAAAATACAAATAAAATATAGTACTAAAAATTAAACTTCACTTAAATTTCATGCTTAGTAATACTTGATCTACAATTGAACTTTTCCTGTTATAAAAAATTATTTATAATGGTATGAAAGGTTAAAGAATATTTTTTTAGAAAAAACTATATTATATTTTATTTAATTTTTAAATTTTCAATATTAGTTGTACAAATTTAGTCTTAACTAAAATTTTAGAGACTAAAGTTGATTTCAAAATAAAATCTTTGATACGAGGAAGTATTGAATGTTTGTTTTTTAAAGCATATAAAAATTAATAACTAAACTATAGAGTTACTTCTAAAATTGATTTCAAAATAAAATCTTCAATATGATGAAATATTGATGAATATTGTTTTTTTAAAGCACATAAAAATTAAAATATAACTAGCTAGTCATTCAATTTTTATTTTTTTTTAAAAAATAAGAAATCTCTGAAGATCCGAACTGAATTGAATCGTTCCGATAGTCCCAAACACCGAACCGAATTGAACCGAAAAATAAAAACCTCCGAACCAAACCGTTCCGATTTTTTGATACGGTTCCGGAGATCGAATTTAATGTTCTCCGAATTTTGGCACGGTTCTCGAGATTTCTCAATCTCTGAACCGTACCGACCCATGCTAAAGTTAGTTCCTCGTAGTGTATAAGCATTAGGTTTGTAACTTCCCTCAGGTGTGTTCCTTTTTCCGACACTGGACACAGGCTCAAGAAAAGTTCCGAACGAGATGAGATCGTTCTTCAGCAGCTGGAGGTCAGCTGTAACACCCCGCTTATCAGAGTAACTTTTTCGCAACTTTTACTTCGAAATACTTATGAAGAACTCGGAATGCTACTTAACTTGTCTTTATAAAAATCTGTTTATCTTTAAACTTTTGTCTAACAGATTTATCTTTAAACTTGCATTTAAAATACTATAATTCTATTTCTCAATTACCATATTTATATTTCTCAATTTACCATAATTATATTTCTCAAAATTACCATAATTATATTTCTCAACATGGTAAAACTTATAAAATGCAAGTTCAATCATTAATGTGCATAGCGGAATACTTAAAAAAACGTGGTTAATTATACAGACTGTTTTAAATGTCCACATTAAGCTTGTCTTCGTTTGCTTCCACGATCCACACCAACACAACTCCACTCACACCTTCTCGTTAACTTGTTACCTGAAACTAAAACTCATGGGGGTGAGTAACGAATATGGATAATCATAAACCGATATCTGATCGGTAACTTAAACTTAAACTTTCATTTCTCTGGCCGATGGTTAATCGAATACGTGTGCACACTCTGATGGATATTTCTAAGGCCCGTTTTGCCTCCACCAGAACTTAGGATATAATCTTATGAGACAAATTAATGTCTCCTCATCCCAAGCGTAATAAACCTTAACTTCGGGATATAACTTTTGAGACAACTGATGGTCTCCTTATCCCAATCACATATCGTACTCAATGTGCTACCCATTCAGGGTCCCCACCTTTTCATCTTTGAAATCTTTTGTAACACGATAAGTGCTGTACTGGTACTGTATCTGCAAGTCAATTCAAATATAGACAAATATACTAAGTACTATGCTCGTATACTCAATAATTTCTTAGGATTATTAACTTATCCCATTCTTCTAATAATTCATTTAAACTTTCTTATTCTCAAGTTAAGATTATACTTAACTTCACTTTTTACTTTTTCTCAAGGTTAATTACTTAACCTTATAAAACATATCTTCTTAAACATCAATATGTTTCATAACATGCTATAACTCAAATGTGAAAAATACTATATTTCACATTATACTTGATTAAGTACTTAAACTTACTTTTTACCATCATCATCATCATCATGGTTTATAAACTCATCTTAACTTAATCTTTTACTCAATCAAGTACTTAATTAATCATACATCATACTTCTCAAACTTTAGATATTGACTTATTTTTCACTTAATTATCTTGAAAGTGAAAATAATCATATCATTCTTAACTTTCTCATCATGTTCTTAATATGTGAGATTTAAAACAATTTATATAAAATTGTATACTCAACATATTAACTAAAACTTTATCAAATTGTTCATCACTTATGAGAATTGTTCATAATAATCTCATTAATAATCATCTCTACTTATCACATTTGCTCATTAACTTTTCTCATGATATAATATAGCATACTTAATATAATCTTTACTAAATTGTATACTCCATATATGATATCAAAACTCCATCATATGACTCACCATTCATATGAAAATTACTCATTATTCATATGAAAATTACTCATGAACATCTCATTTTAACAACTTAACTTTATTATGACTATTCTTGCACATATATATACTTATCTTTACGTATATGCTTTCTTATCTTCATAACTTATTCATTTCTCATCTTTAACTTTTGAAACTTAACAGTCATAATGTCATCTTATCACTAAACATATGCTCAAAATTTCATAATCTTATCATGCATATTCATCAAGTTATGAAAACTTTAACTTTAATAGTGAACATAATCTTTATCTTGCATGTTCATCTTCATATATTCATAACTCAAGTTATACTTTACTAAATCTCTTAATTCTTGTTCTCATGTACTCCTCTTTTACATAAGAATCATTCATTTAAATCATATAATTCCAGTTTATTCGTATATTTATCATCATCTTATCAAATTCAAGCATGTACATCATATAATTGATCTTGAATATATTTAACTCTTTATATTCATAGAATCAATTATAAACTTAACTTCTTTATCATGTTTATACATACTTATAAACATGTAAACTTAACACCAAAACATAAACTTAAACATTTACTTTAAGATAAGTGAGTTACCTCATCTTCTTGTCAAAGTAAAAACTTCATTCTTTACTTCATCTTCTTTACTTCTCCAAAGTTTCTCCCACTCATTCTCTCTTTCACTTTTATTTAACTTTGGAACTTTATTTTGGTGTGAAAAAACTCTGAATTTTAGGCCTCTATTTATTAGCACAATTTTCAAGACATCATAATTGAGTGAAGAAATTAACAAAGTAAACAATACAATCTTGTAAAAATAAATATAGATAATAAATAGTATTCTTAACTTGTAAACTTCTCCAACCCATAGTCAATGCTTAGAAAGGCCCCTCTTCTGATCCTAGTCTGATCTCAATGATTAAATTCGAGTTTTAGTGAAAATTCTCCAATTTACGGAACCAAATTCTGACTTAAAATGAACAGTTACCGTAAAATCGAAAATTCTTACTATTTTCGAATTTCCTTCTTTTCTTTTGGCATTTTTCCTTTTTATGCTAAAATTTTTTTTCTTATCTTGTAGTCTACTAAAAAATAGAGAGAAAATAATTTAATTTATTTCTCAGAACTGAAATCGGACATAAATTCCGACTACAATCGAAAACCGAAAAAAACGAAAATTCTAAAATTTCATATTTCTCTCTAATAATTTAAATAGACTAAAATGTCTAAATAAATTTCTCACTTCTTTGAACATTTATAACTTAAATGTTCATGGATACTTAACCGAACTCGAGACCTAACTTGTCTCGACTCATTATTCTTTTTCTTTCTCTTTCAAACTATAAATGGCCAAATTTACATTCATTTAGCTAAATAAAATCGAATGTTACTTGAACTTGAATAACTTATTTCACTTCAATAAACATTAATGTGTAATTAATCCTTATAACTTGATCAATACTCAAAACTAAGCTAGGCTCGAGAATCATTTGTTCGGTAATAATCTTAACTCGTAACCGAACATGCTTGGTTCCGTTCACGACTTATCTTGAACGAGTAATCAAAATATACTCGATTTTTATTATTTGTCATCTTATTATAATTAATCTCATCTTATAAATCCATTTATAAAAATAAACAGACCAGAATTAATTAATTACTGAACTAGCTCGATTAAATAAAATTTAACCGAGAATACTTTCAACTTGAACTTTTAACTGAATAACTTAATAACTGAGCTCGAAACTAGGAACGAGCATTATTAATATAAGTAATTAGTTCAAACTTAGAACTAAAATAATTACTTTTATTAATTACTAAATGGGATATTACATCAGCAGCATTGACGAGATCGACATGTGGTGTCAGCAGCTGTGACACGTTTTCCAGCAAGTCTCACTGCACCATACGCCATCTCTGTCAATAAACTTCACAATGGTTTCAAGCAGACATGGCCACGGGTCAACCGACCCGCCGACCCGGAACGGACCCAGCACGAACCAGGCCCGGTCAAACCCGTTGACCACGGGTCCGGGCCCGGCTCGGATTTTCAACCGGGCCGGTTCAGGGTCTTCTTTTTGTCGAAACTGGCCCGCCGGGCCGGGCCAGGTCCGGGCCGGGCCGGGTCCGGGCCGGGCACGGAAAAATCAAGTCATTTCTGATTTTTTATTTTTTATTTTTTTTTATATGGGCGGGTCCAGACCCGGCACGGCCTAGGTTCGTGCCGGTTCAGGGTCGTGATAACCCAACCCTCCGGCCCGCCGGATCGGGCCGGGCCCTGACGCGGCCCGCCATTTGGCCATGTTTAGTTTCAAGTAAAGAATAGTCAACTTCTTCTAAATATCAAAAGAAGAAGGTTGGAACTCACAATGATTAAATAAATCACAAGTTGCAATTATATTAGTATATTACTGTGAGCCCATTATAGGTATGGTACTTTCAAGTCTTCAGACAACATGTGCCAGTGTAAATTTAACTTACAATAATGTAATTGATCCTATACACTTGCTAATATTCTAATAGTTTATAACATAAAGATTATCACCAATGTGAGCTGTATGTGTGTGTTCTCTTTTTCTTTGATGTGAAGAACACAAAATTTAGGAGACTTCAGAACTTCAATCTGGACTTTACAGCTTCAGATTATCCAAATTCCCGACAATCACTAACAGATTTAAGAGCTACAGATGGCTTATGCTGCTGTGGTGTCTCTTATCCAGACTCTAGACCAGTTTCCTTCAGATCAATTTTCATCTTCTCATCAAGAAATATCACTCTTTAAATGTCTCCACACCAAGGCCCACACCTTGCTAGTTCTTCTCCAAAAAAAATTCCAAACCGGAGCAAACGAGCTTGAAGCCCAAATCCGAGAAGTGGTGTACGAAGCAGAAGACGCCGTAGAATCCCACGTCTCGACCCGTTACCTCCAGCCCGAATCCGTGGAAAGCTCCCCTGCAGCTGCCGAGATCTTCACTCACAAATTGCAAGTGCTGTTGCAAGAATTGGAATCTATCGAGAAAAGGCTAACTGCCATAGGATCCGACCGGGTTGACCAACGGCCAGAGATGACCGGGCCACGATCCGGCCCGTTAGTGGCCAGCACGAACAAGCTGCTTGTCGGGCTCGAAAACGAGCTGTCCCGGTTGAAAGGCAAGCTAGTCGGGGAATCTTCCCGACTGAATGTGGTGGCCGTGGTCGGGATGGCCGGCATCGGCAAGACCACACTCGTCGACCGGGCTTTCCATGACCCGTCGATCGGGAGGTTCTTCCACTACAGAGCCTGGGCAAATGTGGGCCCGGGCCGCGACCCGCGGGAAGTCATTGCGGAGCTCCTGGGGCCCACGGCTTCGAAGTTCAGCCAGGAGAGCAGCTACAGCCAGCTGACGG